AACGAGTAATGACGCTCTAGAGTTTTGCCTTTAGGTATGCATTATCAGTTCTTCTACGAATTCTTACATAAACTACACATGTTTAGCCACTGTACAATATTAAAACAAACCATGGACATATTTATCCTGCTCATTTTCAGCCATGACCTGCTTCTTTGATGACCAGTACTCTAGAGTTCTTGGGCCAATGATCCCGTCCCAAGTATACCACTTTGATGACACAGTGCGCCAGGTTATAGGTATTGCTAATTTACACAACATAAACACAATGAAAGACTTATCATTACCCCTAAGTATATGTTAGTTTATTGAATACCTATTATCAAAAGAGCTTTTTGACTGATTCGGTATAACACATTTTTATCAGATCAGTTTACAAGATTGTTATTTACTGTTATATCGATTTTAGTTCACAAGATATTTGCTAATGTTTTTTTTTTGAACCATTAAGACACTTTGGTCATTCCAAGAGGCGACACCTTCACAATAGGAGACTATGGATGTTACAATGGATTCTCATCAGTGGAGATATTCGGCCACATCATAGGTATGTTCCCAGTGATATACGTTGAATCACATTTAAATACATTCTTAGACAACACCAGCGGAATGTGTTACTTATGGTAAAGGAAATAATCATATATACTGCAAATGACTGACTTATGCAAATACTCTGATGAGGCAGTAACAGTAGACCAAGGTGCATTTTCATAAGTTACTTGAAACTAAGTCTTTCTCAACATCAGTAGCTTGAGATCTGTTCCATAGGGCTTAAACCCTAAGCTCTGAGTACCCTGTGAATCCCCAGCCATATGAAAATGCATTGTATATTTTCGCTGTATATTTTGTTATGTCAAGCGCCTGTGATAAGATTAGATTAGATTAGGCATAACATGCTTAAAGACAGAGAAATGTACTTGTCATTTAAAGGCGGTCTCAAACAACGCTACGGAGAAGACATGCCCGTCCACATCATCTATGAGGACCAGAATAGCAATGACTACAATGCTTTGATTCAGACAGTTTGCAGTAAGTGAAATGCGTAACTAGCGCATAGAGAGTGATGTCATCCAGAAAGCAAGCAAACTGAATTCACAATGTTTACAATGTATATCACCACTTCAGTTTTCTCTATAGTTAGGACATTATGCAAACGCAATACATTACTGTTTTGAAGTTTTAAAAACATAGCTATTACATCAAGCAAAGATACAATGTTTTAATTCCCTTTCATGCAGGTAACGGCAAGGTGTCTATAAATCACCCGAAGGTCTACATGTCAATGTGTCCCACAAGTTTCTATGAGCAGTGTGTCCCTGACAACACCTTCCATCTTCTTCTCTGTTTCTGGTCTGCTCACTATCTGTCCAAGTGAGTCCATGTGGTTCATATCTTGTGTAATCTGAATGACGTTATTTTGGCGAGATGTCTCCTTGTGTTTTCATATCAGTTCATATGTCGGGTTGCGGACAAACTTGCTCACAATTCAAATCTTTAACGGTATGAGTATATTTAAAATTTTACAATGATCATGAGTACCCAAGAACACTGCAAAAGTGAATACAGTTTGTTTTAGATTTTAAAAATTTTAAATTATTTTCTAAAGACCATTTATCGATTTTATTGAGACAAATTGCAATTGTCTTTTTGTAATTGCAACGGCAAAATATGTTAAAATCATCCGAAAAATGATTATAATGATCGGACAGGGTGGAACCCACGCGTTTTTGAAATGGCCTGTCAGTTAAAAATCTGGATATAAATTGAGGCAAACGGCATCGCAACTCAAAGTCAGTTAAATCTTTTAAAATACCGTGTTTCAATGTTGTGACATATGCTTTTTCTAGATAGAAAAAGACAGACACTGCATGTTGTTTATAATTGCATTCTTAAGGAATAACTCCAAACAAACTAAATGGTTAATGGTACTGCAATTTGAATGGAAACCATATTGAATATTTGTGATTAAACTATTAGATTCTAAGGAGCATGTTAAGCTGTTATTGATGGATCAAAATGATCCCGTTCAGGTTTTGGTATGAGTACAACTATGGCATCACACCATGAAGAAGGAAATTTACCTGATGTCCATATATCATCAAAAATGTATCAAAGGGTTTCTAAACAGGGTCTGGTAAGTGCTTCAGGAGTTTATCTTGTATATTATCAGCTCCTGTAGCAGTATCATGAGCTTGTCCAAGAGCTGTACGAAGATCATGGATTGAAAAAACTGCATTATAATCTTCCCCATTATCTGATTTAAAATTAATTCATTTCTTTTCTTGCTGTGTTTGGTATTTCTGGAAATGAGGTACATAGTTTGAGCAGGAAGAATGTATTTAATGGTTCTTTACGTTTATTTGCAATATCCGATGTATCAGTGAATTGTTCTTCCCCATTCTTAAGGTGGTGGATGCAAGATTTAGAACCCGTACCTTTTTATTTTTGAAATATAATTGACGTTTATTTTGTTGAAAAGTACGTCTGGCTTTCGCGTTTAATATTTTTAATTTATACAAATTATATACCATGGGATAGCGACGGAAATAGAGTTCAGCCTTTTTCCTTGCCTTCCTAGCTTGTTTGCATTCATTGTTAAACCATGGTTATGGATGTGTGGATTTGTAGAGGACTTCAGAATACATACACCAGCTATTTTGTTTAGTTCAAAGGACAGTGTAAATTTGCATCGGATACTAAAGGTGCAAACACCAGGGATGCAGGGCTGTTATACGCTAGCGAATATGACACAAAGAGCAATATTTGTATACCAAATTGAATGCCAGGCTGGTACTGCTAATAACAAGAAAATAGATGCATAATGATTTTGAATTCTGTCATCACCAGATTGGCCAATGAAGCACTGCCTTCTGGCATTGATAGAACCGGGCACATTCTACCCCCTGTCTAGGTCAGGGTAAAAAGTAGTGTGTTGGGCAAAGGAACTCTGTACCCGGAACCAGTACCCTCAACTACCAGATTCCCTTCCTTCACCGACAAAGGGGCGCAACCCACGGCAAACGGGTTGTCCACTTTAGTCGCCTCTTACCACAAGCAATGGGGTGCTGAGGACTCATTCTACCTCTGGTCCACAAAGGGGAAGAGCAATTAGAGTTTCCCAGCTCTCACCACGTGGAGATTGCACTTCATGGGTGCCATTAATAGATGATTTACAATTTGATGATATCAAAGTATAACTTCTTTGATAGGCATTTAGAAGTTGAAGTACTAAGTAAGGATAAGATTTATGGATGAACAACTTCTTTATTACAATTCGGTGTAGGTTTTACATCACTTGCTTGATAACGGCGTAATAACCTACACCGAAACGTCACTCCTGATTGTAATAAAGAAGTTGTTCATCCATAAATCTTATCCTAACTGAAATCAAAGTATGTTGCTTATGACATACATGCTCAATGTCTTTGACACAATGTTATCTTGGTGGGACAGTATACCATATGTGTTTCAGTTCTGTGTTGTATGAAGATTCCCTATTTACGTTTCCTGACGGAACGCGAGATGAAATCAATGCTGTTGCGACTCAGGCCTTTGATGAATGGCAACAATTTCTCCTCATCAGAGCTAATGAAATCAAAAGCGGTAAGGTAGTTTAACATGCGAAAGCGGTCAAATTCAATATTATCTTAACATTACATTTTAGTACCTTCAAACTCAACCACCTTCGGTTTCATTCATATCATTTGAAATGAATAAGATAATGAAGACAATATATACTGAACCGCAAAAGAATCGTCACCCCAAGTAACATTGCATGAAAAGTTGTCATTTAAATATCTGAGTAATTTCTAAACATTAACATTACCTTGTCCGGAAAAATGAAATTTGATGATAAATAACAAAGCAGATGACAATAAAACCGATCGCCCTAACGCATCAGGACAACGGCCATGGTAACCCTATGCACGTGCAAATTGAAATGCACATGCGTTCCCCCAATTCTTGCCCTATAAAAATCCACCAAGATCGGATAACATTCATTCGTTATTGAATTGCTACCACATGCCAAGATTGACAAGAAATCAGTGACACCAAGCCCTTGGACAATTGCAAGCTGGACAAACCGCCCGGCAAGTAGCCAATGCATTTCAAGTCCACGTAAGGACCATATACAGGCTCCAGCAACGGTAGCAGACCACCAACACTACAGATGACCAAGGGTCACCACCCTGTCAGGATCGTCAGATTGTGCGACAGCATCTTCAAGATCGCTTTGTTACTGCTGCGGAAACTGCTCGACAGGCCATGGGGTACACACCAGCGACACATTAGTGCGGACACCGTGCGTCGACAATTGACGAGCAGACACCTCAACTGTCATAGGCCACACTGAGGACCCATTTTGACACAACGTCATCGCCGGGACCGTCTTCAGTGGGCAACACAGCACCAGCATTGGCGCCACCAGCAGTTGAGAAGAGTCCTCTTCTCAGACGAGAGCCATTACTGTATCTCAATAGCAGATGGCAGAGAGAGAATCTGGCGACGACGTGGGGAACGTTATTCGGATGCTTGTGTTGTTGAGAGAGACTCGTGGGGTGGTCCGAGCATCATGGTGTTGGGTGGAACTGGTCTTGCACAGAGGGTCGGCCTCGTGGTCATCTAGAACATCGGTCCAGGGAGAGGCAATGGTGTCACAGCAGCTTGGTACAATGATCAAGTCTTGAGACCAACCACGAATTTCAGCATTGTAATGCCCGTGCCAACACTGGGAGAGCAACAAGAGACTTCCTCCAGCAGAATGGCATCAGAACCATGCAGTGGCCTGCCCTCAGTCCCGTTTTCAATCCTTTTGGGCACCTGTGGGACGCGATTCAAAGGCGGCTGAATGACGTCCGACCAAGGTCGACAATTGCAGCTGAACTGCGTCAGGCGTTCCTGTGTGGGCTCAAGTGCCTATGGCCTTCATCAACCACCTCATCTATTCCATGTAATGACATTACACGGCAGTCATCAATGTACATGGCGGACACACGAAATGCTGACTTATGATGCTATTTTCTCAGAGACTAGTGTTGTGTTTCACTTTAAAAACATTTGACACTTAATTTCAATCTTGATGATCGGTTTTGCCAAGTTTCATCTTTTTAATATGTCTTCAAGTATGTGAACAGTGTTTATACAATTAAGGTTTCTTATATATATCTCCATGGTGACGTTTCTTTTGCGGTTCAGTATATTTCCCTTTGTAGGTGGATATATGATGCTGATAGTTCCTGCAGAAGATAGAGAAAGAAAATATGGTCAAAGCAGAGTCCATTTACACAACATGTGGGCAGCTATGACGTCAGTTTGGCGACTGTTCCGTGATACGGATCTCATCACAGAGGTGTGTGTTGGGCAGATTGCATTTTATAATGACGCCCATATTTATAACATTCTGGCGAAATTGCTGCACTCTTATCATCTGAGGGAGTAATTGATTTTCTTTAATTGGGAAGATGGTCCTCGAAGATGCCATTGAATGTGTTAAATATAAAGAAGCGCTCTCGTTGTCAACACATACACAGTCCTGTCCAAGATTTCAAATCTATCTGAAATTGACTATAAGATAGCTGAATGCATAAGTACATAATGTAAGTCGTGTCATTTCTTCATGATTAAATGAAGAGTTAAATCAGTGGACAAAAAATATGACTTCCCCTTCCTGATAATTTGTATCTAGCAGCTTATTTGACAGGGATTGGCAGAGGCACGTTGATGTTATAATACTCATTAGGCTTTGTATTGTCTGTGTAACATGTTATATATGAATGTGTCATTGACAACGTTCTCTACTGATCCATTGAATGGGTTAGTCCTACGTTATTCAACCAACGGACCCAATTACAGTTTTAGCTCTGAGGCTTGACAGACTTTAAAAGTTGTCTTTCCTCTGTTAAATACCCCAGTTAAAACTACTGCATGGGCGCTTACGTCTACGAATAGCTTGAGGACATCACTGTCTCGCACTAGTGTCCTGCCGTCATCATTGTGATTGTGCGATGAGATGCATTCTTAAACGTCTTTGCTTCGTAGGTTATTCGGGTTCGTGTGTATGTGTATATGAGTATGGAGGCCTGTAACACGCTTGGGTACCTTTTTACTTCTATACAGTGTGAGTACAAGGCAACCAACTACTCCGGTTACTACAGAAGTGAGGAGGAACTGAGAGCACCGTTTTGTGACGAGGCCTCTCCAGTTGTCAAGGCAGGTTTACGAATCAAGTCCCTGGAGATATCCCACCGAGTACCTTACAGCATGAAACAGATGAAGAAAACCAAGAAGGAAAATGGTGACCTTTTTGCATTTTCATTTACATGTAGTATAGTCAGTTAGAATTTACACAATGATCCTGTATATGTTGAAATTAATATTAGGTCAGTGTTGAGTGTGGTGTAAAACAGCACTTACTTGCCGCACTTATTCAGGATCCGATGATAATGGGTCCAAATCCTATATTTACGAGTATGATAATTGGTGTGTTAATATACCCGTGTGTGTGGTCGTCCCCAGAGTGGTGAACGACTTGTGCCACTGCTGGCATTCCTCCAACATGAAACTGATGGACTGTGGTATGACTGAAATCTATATGACATATGTTCAAATCTGTGTTTACCCTCGCTCACTCAAAGTGAAGGAGCACAATTTCAATTTACGTTACACTGAATTTTTTCATGTGCATGAAAACATCTATGCCATCGATATGTCAGATGAACAACTCAGCCTGTACCTTGGATTCCTACAATTAACCTGGTTTGTTTCCAGGTGGGAAAGAAGACATAGATACATCGGTTGGGAGATTTCTTTGGACAATCCGATCCTGGACAGAACATATTTTCCTGCAGGCTCTATCCAGCAGATCCCAAGTGTCCAGGCGGGACGTAGTCAACACATTCTATGACAGACTGTTGGAGCATTTGAAACAACAAGACATGTCCAGCTGTGGCTGGAATAATATCATAGCCTATATCGTCATCACAAAGAAATGAATGTACAAGGTTACTGTATATATCTGAATACATTACTTTCATCTAAACAGTATAGAGGTTGTGTAGGAAGTTTGACCACAGTGTTCTACTCCCACATCTCTAGCTCAATCACTCTATACCATCTATCGTGCAATGATCATTAAAACCAGATCTTAGTTCTCGCTATCGCTAAACAAAGATCTGAGGACATCCCATTACGGGTCACGTCAGAACGACCTTTCATCCGACCAATCAAAACTTCGCTTATCAGATTATGATAATGACAGTCGGGATGTGTTTTCTAATCATGCAACCTCGAAAACGTTAACATGGGGTATTCCGAACGACATTTACGGTCCGTACGACTGATTCCGTCAAAAGTATCGCCTATCTCTCGCTTCCCGTGTATAAGCGTTTGAACGGAGGAGGCGTTGCACAGTACGTGGGAAGCTCTGCCATACAATCTCAACCATCTATTAGACATAACCGGATGTCCGTTTTTTCAGTTTTCCAAATTTTAATCGAGAACTGTGTCAACATATTGTTCAAGCGTAGTTTGAAATGGAAATCATCAGGTTGAAACGAGTGCCGTAAAGCTCGAGTTAGCTGCTTTCTAATTGGCTAATATTGACTTCTTGTTAGTCATTTCAATGGTCAGTCAAAGTTCGCGAAAGGTTGTTCTGACGTGACCCGTAAAGGGATGTCCTCAGTTCTTTGTTTAGCGATAGCGACAACTAAGATCTTATTTTAATGAGATTGTCTATCGTGGGCCATTTCACTGATTACATTTGTCTTACGTTGTTGCACAATATTTGCTGTTGCTCAATTAATTGGGGATTAGGACTAATTTATTTAATATATAATTGTATATATATGATTCATAAATAACATTAATGATACATTCATCTTTTTGTCCCTTTGTCTCAATTCGATTTCAGCCATGAGAGTATATTAATACATTCAAGAAAGACGATTGTTTCAAGACAGAAGGTCGATGACTATTGATACCTTTTTGGTCCGGGTATTTTGCTTAAAAGATTGTATCAAATATTCTCTGTATCAAATATTCTTGTTTTTTTTTCATTTGAGGAACAATGATCACTCTCACCTTCTTGTCAAACGATAATATTGTGAATCTCTTTGTGAGATGTGTCTTTGTTTCAGTGGGACAGGGATTAATTTTTTACAATCTGTTTCCTCCATATATGTGTGAATGTCAATTTGTGTAATTTTTTATTTTCAAAAGGACTAAGCACCACGACCTGTTATCAACTTCAGACATTGTAATCAGCGCACTGTTTAAAATAGATGCTATAACTATTTGAACAAGTTAGATTAGAACTAAATGTGGGAAGCAGCACATGGCTGTCAGTGTTGTATTATAAGATTATACTAAAGAATCTAAAATATTTACTGTTCAAGCAACGACCTCCAAATCATTACATCTATTCCTTGTTGCGTCACTTTATCTACACTTCACTGTACTTTATGTTAATTGTATGTGTGTATTTAGGCACTATGTAGGCAACTTTTGTACATATTGCAACAGATTTATTGTATCACAATAGAGAAGATCCCTTAAATGTGTCCCTTTTGCTTAATCTTACATTCATACAATAAATATATTTAAACAAAGAGTCTCTGGGTAATCAGAGTGAGGTGGTGAGTTGTCATGTGGTTTAACGTCGCGTTCAAAATCATTGCATCAAAACAGGACGTACACGCATATCTCCTACCTCTTCCCCACAGAATACTATGGGATATGCGATGTTGTTGTAATGACTTTTGCAGGCCCGAGTCCTTATTTAGTGATTGTGATTCCCACACCGGAACGAATGGTTAACAGCCCAGAACAATATCAACATGTTGTATACTAAAAGCGCCAAAAACCATTACTTTATTCCTAACCATCTCATGATCATTGAGTTCATTATGTTACGAGTCGATTCCCAAATTGGAACAATATGTTAACAATGAAATCTGTAAGAAAAAGAACCTAGTGTAAAACCAACAAACAAACAACAAATGGTATACAATTAACAAATGTATTACAAAAAACACTTAGTTTACAAAAATACCGCACAACAATTTCAATGTACAGTAAACAATGGAGGAGTACAATATTCCAATTTCTTCAAAGCCAAAACATCATTTTTTCTTCAATCAAAGCCAAAGCATCATCATCCAAAATTTCTTCCTCAACTAGGTATGTTATCAAACTTGTCTTGACATCGGCCTCAAGCATACCCGATCCGATGTTAAGTTTTTAATGTTTGACCAATGCGACTAGTTCAGACTTTTGGAGCATAGAGACCAGTTCCATCGAAGGTTGGCTAACAGATTCCTCTACACTAAACACCATAGTGTTTGTTGGCTGCACATAATATTAGACGGTAATGTTGATGTTTACCAAATAAATTTGATAGATAATTTGTGACATTTCAAACTGCCCCCATTTTTGGTAACGTGTCGATTCACAAATTGAAACATTATGTTAACCCAGAAATCTGTAGAAATTACTGCGCAGCAATTACAATGGCAGTAAACAATAGAGTCGAGGAACTATATTCAATGGTTATATATAATATGATGGCAGTGATCAGTATCATATACACAGATACAGTGGTGATAGCAGTGGTGATAGCAGTGGTTATAGCAGTGGTTATAGCACCCACCAGCTCATCGGCACGAAAACATTAAAGAAGTTTCCACAACTTTCTATCACCGTCCGCGGTAACCGGAAGTTTACACAGCACACTGGTACTAATTATAGTAGCTTCCTGACGACTGCTTAGATTAAATGACACTTCATTCCTGACGACTAATCACTGAACAAATACAATGCAATGAGCGTCAACCGAATCTCAAACAAAGCAATGTAACACAATCATAGTTAAACAATATAATACACTACCATATAACCCTTATACGTTTTCGACCATATCAAGAGCGCGTGTTTGTGAGTCACTATCAAATTGTGATGATATCGGGTGAAAAGGTAAGCTTATCCTGTCCCCATCAGTGACACCCCTCACAAACACAAGCAAAGTAAAGTGTTCACCTTGACAAACATTTGAACATAAGGATACAAGTTGAAATAGGGAATTGCATCTGACATTATTTTGTTCACTGATGCGTCAAAACACACGTTGCCAGGTTTAGTTTGGATTACATTGTAATAGCACTTGTCAAGTAGAGGACGAAACTCATCCATTGTAACGGGTCATGCAGACTGCTTTGCAAAACAATGAACAGGTTTCTGGGTGTTATTCGTGATCCCAACTGAAGTGTTGCAGTGCCTAACGTATCAAAACGTTGGTGCAATAAGTCGTTAACATATTTAAGACTGAACTCGTCCTTGAAAAGTATTTATTAGTTATCCCTTTCTCGTTGGCTGTAAAAGTCCCTTTACTTAGAACCTCATGCCACCATTTACCTATTGAACTAAGTAGGTGGCACAAAATCCCTGTCAATGAACGAACGTGTAAACTCTGCGACATCAGCGATGTTGGTGATGAATTCCGTTATATTTTTGTTTGTCCTTTTTTTTAAACCCCAACGGAAAATATATGTTCCAATTTCATATGCTAAAAACCCAAATATGTTTTAATTTAAAGAACGTTTTAATTGTAAAAACGTAAATGTTATTAAAAAAACTCTTACATTCTGTAATATCATTATGAAAACTGTAAAATCTTCCATGTAAACCACCCCGCCATCTTATGAATTTACTTTTTGCAAATTTGTACCTCATATGCCGAGGATCCCGGCCTGAGCGTAAATAAAGTTCTGTTCTGTTCTGTCGTTAACAGAATGACATATAATAATTATTTGATACACTAGTACAGAACTGAAATCATGTTTGAAATAATGAGGGATGGTAACCAAGTGTTACAGGGCCATTATGCCGAAGGCACGTGTTCTGTTTCTGGTGTTCTAGCCTCCATCTCCGTTATATGGCTGGAGTGAGTGAGTGAGTGAGCATGGTTTTACGCCGCTTTTAGCAATATTCCAGCAATATCACGGCGGGGGACACCAGAAATGGGCTTCACACATAGTACCCATGACGGGAACGGAATCCGAGTCTTCGGCGTGACGAGCGAACGCTTTAACCACTAGGCTACCCGGCCGCCCCTTATATGGCTGGAATATTGTTGAGAGCGATGTATGAAAAGGAGGCTCTTTTGAAAAAATGACATCCCCATAGCACCACGGCGTGTTGCAACACTCTGTATCACTGTCTCTTCCTCTGTTCTTCAAATCTACAACAGATGGACTCCTCACTGCGACCATGGACTCTTGCAGTCAAGTATAACAGTCGGTGGCTCAAACGAATGTTGCACTGACCCCATATTTGAAAGGCCATCTGATATACCAACTATTTGTACTGAAACCGTGTCCCAAGGCAGTTAGCCAGGAGGGTAAGGAATAAAAACATTGGCAACGTACAGCTAATAATGTTTAAACAATATACCAACAATTACACAATGAGCTGATGAAACCCTGTTTCCAGTTCAGACCTGCATTAGGTGATCGGAGTTCCAGTTCAGCGGATAACCCTACGCCAGACGACATGGCTATCTCGAAGTTTACACTTATATATAAATTGGAATTAAGCTCCTAACAATACAGGGGGTTCCTGTTCAGCTATTATACAGTATGAGGAGGGTTGGGAAGGATGTTGGTGAAGTGGGGTTTAGTGTGGTGTTTATGAACTTATACAGCGACGTGCATGCACGTGTGTGTGCTAACTTATGACTGTTTTATAATGCTAGCCATGAGATACCATGCTACATTTTAACATGGATACCCTACTCTGACATATCATACTGACGATGAGCCAGCCAAGCCTTGATTTAAGTCCTTTGTGCCGAGCGCCGTGTCAGCTTGTTCACTTTTACGTTAATGCTATCGTCATAAGTAATTACTGGCACAAATGATGATGGTTCATGATCATGTCCCGAGGAGGTATGAGTGCTTCACATCGCGAACTTCAAAAACATCCAGTAAAAAGACGACAAGCTGCATATGCATGATATCACCGGAATAAAGAAGCTGAGTGTCTGATGTACCTCATGCCGTGGGTATAAAGGCACAACGAATACAAAGGTGTTTTGCCATAAAGGCCTACCGTGCACCATCAATCAAGCGAAGTTTAGGTTTTATGCTTTGAAGGATG